GTCCTTGTAATAAGGATCCTACCATTTAAGGTACCATATTCGGGTCGCCTATTTTCGGAAACTCCCACTTGGTGTCTGTCTATCTGCCGTTATGTGTGGATTTGGAGTTTGGGGATGGTGCCGGAATTTGCCCCTGGTGCGGTCTTCCTGTGCTTTGCTTTGTGGTCTGTGGCTGGGCACGATGAGTTCCGCGATCTTGTACTTCAAAACCTAAACATCCCTGAACCCTCCACCCTTAGAAACCCTAAACCCCTATGTAGACGTAAGGCTCACAAAAGAGTTAGACATGAAGAGGTGGATGGAGTTGGGCCGAAGATCGGGTTTAAGGTGGCTGGCACAGAATGTTCATACCTACGGGAGATTACCCTTCCCAGTTTATGTTGACGAGTGCTTACAGTTACCATGGCAGGCCAAGGACTCGTCAGGTAAGACTGCGCTGGATGTTGCCAAGGAGCAGAACAGGCGGGGAACTGCCAACCCTAGAACCTAGGGCTCTGAGGACTCATATATTCAGGATTTTGGGCCCAACGACCATACTATGTAAGGCTTTTGGGCAATGTTGATCCCCAGGGCAATGGCTGCTTGACGGGTACTGCAGGGGCTTTTGCAACATGTCGATGCTTTTCTTTAAGTTCCTAAGTATATAAGCAGACTATGATTTACTCCCGAGACGTCGTGTTTCGTTAAGGCAGGCTTCCGGATCCAGGGCCAGGGCTCAGGGTTGAAGGCTTCTGGGGGTCCTACCTCGACCCACCAAGATCTACTTTTTTGCAGGGTCCCTAGAAATTCCATAGCAGGATTTATAAGAGGAGCCCACAAAAAAAGTAGGTTTTCGTAAGTCAAGGTATGAGTTAGGTGACTACACCTGGACTTTCTTTAAAGCACCAATCAATGTGCCATTTAACCCCACGTGTAACTTCCAAGCACCCATGAATTAGGCTTCCTTACTTAAAGGGTCATGGGACTTAGTAAGTAGTTAATAAGTAGACTTATAAGTAGCCTAAAAGGGATCCTAATTGGGGTTGTGGTACTTATCAGTCTCTAAAATATCTAGTTACTAAGTCCCCCGACCCTCCAAGTACGGCCAGTAAAGGTGGTTTTGGTGTTCACAAATGCAAGTTTGCAAACTAGAATGCGCATGACGAACTCTGTGGCCAAGGGCTGGACTTCCCAACCCTAAACCCCCAGGCCCAAAATCCTGAAATGGGACCTGCCCAAGGGCAGAGGAAGTCGGGAGGCATTGACATAAGGTTTCGGCAGTCCTCGGTTTGAGGGAGAATTTGGAACCTGTTGGTCTATAAATGTCTAGAAGCTTCCCTCATTAGGGTAGGAAATTTAGAGTTGAGGGTTAGGGTTTAGGGAAAGTCTAGACCCAAAGCCCCGAACCTCCCCCTCCGGCCTTGCTAAGCCCTTGAACCCTGAACGGATCTTACTCTTCAAGTCAGTCTCCATACTTCGACTGCATTTCAATTTCCCAAAACCACGAAACCCCCAGCTTGGTTTAGGGTTTAGGGTTTAGGGTTTAGGGTTTAGGGTTTAGGGGCTTCCTCATGTTTAGGTGGTCTGTTGGGCCAACGTCTGTTGGGGCCCTACTTTAGCCCCGAACCCGAAACCTTAAACCCGAACCCCCCCAAAAAACGCAAACCCTAAACCCCTAAATCCTTAAACCCAAAACACACACACACCACACCCTAAACCCTTAAACCCCAAACCCGAACTTGAACAGGTTCGGGTCACACCGGCGTGTCATCGAGCAGCTGCAGACCCCTGTGATGAACCTGCGACAAGCTGTTGGCATGATGACGCCGAGAGCTTAAGGCTTAGAGGGTTTGGGTTTTCGGTCTAGGGGTTTAGGGTTTAGGGTTTAGCATGTGTTTTTTTTTTTGGGTTAGTTTTTGGCAGATTCGGGTTTAGAGGGGTGGCTGGGTTCAGAGTCGGAGACTCCCTGCCGCTCGCCATGCCGCGTGGGAGTGGAGTCAGCTTCGCAACGCCCAGCATGCCGACAGGGCTTACTACTTGGAGGGTCGGGGGACTTAGTAAGTAGATAATAGTAGAGTTATAAGTACCCTAAAAGGGACCCTCATTGGGGTCATGGCACTTATGAGTCCCTAAAATAACCAAGTAGGCCCTGAAGCCTAAAGCCAGATGCTGCTTCTGCAGTTCGAAAGGCCCATCGCACTTAAAAAAAGGCCAGACGCTGAAATGTAGCAGCCCACATAACAGCCATTATTGTCCAATAGCTGTAGTAACCCTCAACATGATTGTAAACACAGCCATTGCCTAATAGCTATAGTAACCCTTGAAATGATTGTAGCAGCCCTTCGCCAAAACCCCCAACTCTCAACGCTAGAGTTGTACTTCTGATATTCCCTCGGGCCTAGTAGACCAGCAACATCTGCAGAGTCTTCGTTGGATTGCAAGTTAGTTTTGCCTTTCTTTCTGTGTTTAAGGCCTTGCATTCGGAGGGGCCCTCGTCTGGTCATCCCGAATCTAACGAGTGAAGCCCTTAGGATTCGGGCGTAGGGTTCGATGTTTAGGATTCCCAGAGATCCAATATCCTCCAATTAAGGAATGTATTTCAAATCATATTGATTGGGATACCATCAGAATTTCAGGTATATTCCCTCATTATATAAGGGATATTGGAGTCTGAAGGTTCGGGTGTAGGGTTTGGCGTTGAAGGTTGATGTTTTAGGCTTTAATCGTAGAGCTTCGAACCTTGAGCAATCCCTTAGGCCCTGAATCACACCATCGCACTGAGCCATGAACCCCCCCCATACGCTAAATCCTAAATCCTAGACGCTGAACCTTAAATCCCAAGGCCCCGGCCAGACCCCTGACTAATAAGGCCTTTCCCTCATCATAAAGAGGGAGTTTTGATCTAAAGGCCCTTGAAGAAAGGGTGTTTACTAAGTAGAGTTCACTTTTTCTTTCATTTGGTGAGTGTTTCTAGGGTAGTCTAGGGTTCCTGCTGAGACTCGATGAGCGTGTGATTTTCGGTATGAGAAAATCTAGAAACCCTGTAATGTAGAAACCTGATTGAGAAACCCTGGGCCTACAACGCCAAATAGCAGGATTCATATAAGGATCCCTAATAAAGGCCCAAGGTTTCTTAATCTGGTTCCTACATGATTAGTCAAGTCCAGACACCCTGTGAAGGCTCACACGGCTAGTTTCAGGTTGCCTAAACTCCAAAACTCCAGACGCCCAATCCTAAACGCCCAGGCCGCAGTGGCAGTCGCGTGACTAGAACCCAACATAGTCCCTGAACCCTACATACTAAACTACAACCTGAAACCCCAAAACCCTAAACCTTAACATCTAAACCGTAAGGTCCCCTCGGTGTCGGGAGTCCGCCCGTAAGCTTCTTCGGCTCGTTGGAGGGCTGTGACAGTCATGATCTAGATTCGACGTGCCCTGAATAATGCGGAGTCTTGAAGAATAAGAATAGCACTGCCTTATTTCCACAACAAAGTTATTCTTTCATAAACACCAGCAGCCTGTTCCGATGATTAAGACCGTACATGTCGATGATGATTGGATTTATGGCAATGGTACTCGCGGCCTCAAGTCCGAAACCCCAAACCATAGCCTCAGACCCAACCCCGGAAGGCATCGAAATGCTTCGAACAGGGTCCCTCCATGCTTGTCCAGAACCAGACGCGTGCGAGCTCTTCTTTGAAGGTTTTCCGCGGGAAGCGTGGGTGACCAAGAACCTCGTGCGCCGGCAGCTTGCTGAAGGTGGTTTAATTGCCCGGACAGTTGTCATGTCGTCATGTATGGAAGCCTGGTGACTTACCACAGTTATTTGTAGGCTTCGCTGCTTTAATTGTCCTATAATGTAACCCCAAACCCTTATTCTAAGTATTCAGACCCGCAGAATTGGGTTTAGGGCACAGAGTAGCACCCAAGACGAGGCAGCAACCACGTCCATAACACCTTCTGTAACCCTAAACCCTAAGCCATCCTAGATCCTAAAGCTTTGCAACTGTAACCGGCCCTAAAAACCCCTAAACCCTAAACCCAACAAAACCCTCAACAACCTTAATTTCAAAACGCAAGACCCTGGTTCCTTTAAAAGGGCTATTTTTCAGTGTACGATAATGTAGGAGCCTTAAGAATTAGAGTAGGATTTTTGAAAGCCGTCAACCATCCCAAAAGCAGATTTTGTGCAGGGAGTGTATGAGAATGAACCTGCGGCAACATGCGGTTGCTTTGGCCTGCAAGTCCGCATGACCCACTTGCGAAGTCCCCGAAACCTCGAGATGAACCTCACATCCCGAAATCTCGGCGCATTGAGTTCTCAACTAGGTTCTTGGGGGTCTCACACCAGGGGTAGTCCACAAGAGCCACCACCATAATTCCGAGAGCTTCCTAGTCAGAGCTGATGGGTATGTTTGTCCTGCTGTGCATGGATCTGCAGCAGTTGTAGGGTTTGAACATCACGAAACTTTGAAAGTCTTATCCAAGTAACACTGTTGCTGACACAAATTTTTGATGGACCCAAAGCGGTGGTTGTCAAAATTCTGGTCCTGTTTTGGGTCCCTCTTACAATACGGCACCTAATATTTAGGGTGCCCAAAAAGGGACCATAATTTTGACAACCACCGAAAGAACATAGTTTAGGCTGCTTGCAAAGTGCCGCGCTTGCTGGGTCCGTGGGCTTAGTAGCAGGCCTGGAGGATCCAAAAAGTAGATCCCTTAATGGGGGTTTAGGGTTAAGGGTTTAGGGTTAAGTACGTGAATTAGATCAAAGAATCCGGAAATAGAAGAGCCCCGTAGAACACACTGAACCTGGAACTCGGACGTCTACCACTTTTCTTCGAGAAAAAACAGCCTTGTCGTGCCCGGGCATGGCTCCTGTGCGTCAGAGACATCAATCCACGCACTCCCCCTTCGCTCCCTTCTCCAAGAAAGGAGCGAACGATGTGCAAAGAGGAAAACAAACAATATGGTCTGTTGAGTGGACTAGTATCTCTCTGTATCATGCCCCAACACAATCAGCTCGGGACAAAAACTGGGTCGAAAGTCATCTCGATTCCGAATCCCGGTCTCATGCCGGAATCCTTCTTAGAAGGAAATTCGCGAAGAGATTCCCAGTATCCCATAATCACACTATCGAGAGCCTCAGAGTTCTTCCGACCTTCGCCCAGAAAGCTATCTTCTGTCAACGCGCGCGCCTTAAACGCGCGCGCCTTATGAGACCACCCTTTTCGCCTCTTTGAGACAACATCCTAGGTCCTAGCTTTCACCGGATTCACTCTCTGCTCTTCAGGCTCAAGGCCCTCATGCTCGACTTTACCGTCCTATGTTCCTTAAAAAGGGAAAAAACTGCTCCTCTTCTGGAATACGACGAAGAAACTCAGTTTGATTCCGAAACCTCACTCGACCTCTCTAACCTGGTAAGGTAATCCCCAACTAACCAATGGAAACCATCCTGAACCTCTTCGTCATATTCCTCTACGTCGACTTGACAGCCAGATCTCCAAAACTCAAACAGGATCCTATCACGATTCCGCACACTCGGATCTAGCGGCAATACGATCACCTGAAACTCGTCTGTCTGGCACGCACAGTCAACAGAGGATTTCTTACTCCTACAGCAGCTCCTCCAGAGCATCTTTCCGATTTCCCAGATCGCAATCAGGACAACACACCCCAGCACGCAGCTTAATGTAGAACCATCACACCCATAGTCACCTAGATCCTCTACCTCGCCACGAGAAGCCTGGGACACGGCCTGTGAGGCACTACACACTAACCCGGTGGAAACCTCCGAAGCCTCAAACTCCGTCGGTACCCTGCTCGCACTAGCACCCTGAACCAGAACCCACCAAACAATCAATACCCAAACAATCATGCGCACACATGCCGGATTGAGCCAAGAACCCGCGCGCTCACTGGGAGGGTCATTCGAGGAGCCTGGTCTTCCATCTAAAGGACGCGAGCGCGCACTCATTGAGAGCGCAGTCCAAACACCAGTCTCCAAGCCTGTAACAACAGCCTCTACCTCTTCGCAGGTCCATCCTACGAGGGGTACCTCAAAGGTGTCATCAATATAGTGCACTAGAAGGCATCCATCCCGGGCTTCGTAACCAGTGGTAGGCACCCCGCTAGCCAGCGACATAACAGGTTCACCTGGAGTCGCTAGCTGCACCTCCGGATCATCAACTGTAGCCTGGGAGCCCTCGGTCAGCACTGAAGGCTCAGTAGTGGAGCCTTCGGAACTATACGAATCGCTATCGTCCCCAAACACTTCCTCAGCAAGTAACCCATACTGAACCCGCTGAATCCTAACCTCCGGTTCGGGATTTAAAGGTCGCTCGTCAATGGTCGGATCATCTTCCCGGTCTTCAGCCTCTACAGGGTTTTGCTCAGCAAACGGAAACTCGCGGATTCCATTCTGAAAATACGCTTCCGCTGCATCCCTTGTCTGTCCTCCATCTGCATAAAACAAAGGGCCCGTAGCTCTTAGCCACAGGATCGTTGCATGGAGCGAGTGCTCTAAAAACCCTCGTGCAGCAAACCGAATGGCCCTAACTTCTCCAACCCTGATGCCCAGAAAGGATAAGAGCTCAAAACCGGCAACAGAAAAGATCCTCCAAAGGTAATGTGCCCTCACTCCAGGAGCCCAAACTACATAAGGAAATCCTAGAATCGACCCTCCAGCTGCTTCCCCGACTGGCCCTTCCACATTCGGCGGCTGACTCAAAAGGAATGCCTCAACTGATTCAAGCCATTGTGGTCCCTCATACTGCAAAGCATTTGGACCCTGTCGTAAATGGTCAGCTAAAGCCCCATAAAGTCCAAATCGCACTGCGCTGGAAGCTGCCCGGACGGCCAACCAAGTACGATCCCGAATGCCTAGCAAGGCTAACAAAACCTCCCCAACGCTAGAGAACAACTGAAGGAGAAAATGCACCCTGACCCAGGTTCCTACAAGCGGCCATCCTTCTAGGGACCCTTCAGTAGGTAAATAATCTTCGTAGCATAGCTCCGTCTGCTCAAAAGGCAACGCCTGCATGCCATATGACGAGGAACTCCCCCCTACCTGGACCCTCGGTGTTGGAATCTCCGAATCAAAACGACGCCCCCCGATCTGAGCCCTGAAAGACGAGTCAAAATGGACCTCCTGGGACCTGGCACTTCCGAACGGAACACCTGCATCTGAAGGACCTGGAACCTCGTGAGAACCGGCATTCCCAGACTGAGCTCCTGCGTCTGAAGGACCTGGAACCTCGTGAGAACCGGCACTCCCAGACTGAACTCCTGAATCTGAAGGACCTGGAACCTCGTGAGAACCGGCACTCCCAGAGTCTCCAACCCCGGGATTAATCCTAACAGGAATCCACTGGAGCCCACCAGCTCCCGACACCGCCCTAAGTTCTATCGTCTGCCCCTGATTTGGGACATCCCTAGGGACGTTCCCTGTGTTCATTACTAGAAGCAAAAGACGAATCACTGAATGCCTGCGCAGAGCTACAGCTGCACAACAGAGATGCATCCACTCTACCGCTTGCGCCCCCAGGTACCCTGCAACAGTCGTCCCATGGTTCGTAAACAGATCTACCAACGACTCAAGTCCTACACCCGTTCCGGCGGCGCAAAATGGTCCTTGCGGGCCCTGAGATGACGACGCTTCCTCCCCGGACGAAGCACTTAAGTACCAGGAGGGAACTGAGCCAAACCTCTGGAGGAAGTTAGGCGGATCGACTACACCCCCGGCCGCAACCTGCTTACGAACCTTCGCCCGTTGGAGGAACGTTAAGCCAGAGCAACGCTCGGCTTCTTCAAGCTTCAACTGCGCCTCGCGCCACTCCTGCTCCGAAAACTCATCGTCATCTTCAGGCTCCGGTGTAGCAGCTGGACCCTGCTCCGGGGCATCGTCGCATTGGACCGTCCCAACACCATCAGAATCCCCATCGCAGTCCGGAGCCTCTGACCCAACGAACCACCGACCTACCCTAGAAAGACCACCCTGAAGTCCACCTCCTGAGTACCACCACCCAACCACGGCTACACAGCCTACAGTCACTAAGCAAGCCAACACCCAGACAAACCACCCCTGGGCTTCCGGAAGGCCGTGGGCAGGCTGACCCCTCACACGCGGAATCACTGCCAACAAGGCGAGGCCTGCGAGCAGTTCCGCAGGAGCAACTGACGTGCTACACATCCCTCGGCTTAACACCCGAGCCGATGCTACCCCCGCGGTATCAGCCCTGGCCCCCCTAATATTAGCTAGACTTAGCAAATGCATGATTCGGGACCGACTAAGCGGTTTGGTCCCAAGGTCCGCAATCTGCTGCATTCCTGGGATGTGCGACACGCGCAAAACTCCTGCAGCCACTCTTTCTCGGGCGGCTGTGGCCCTCATTCTAAGGTGGCGGTTCCTCCATGAGGTCCCAACCTGGTCGAAACTTCTCAACGATGCCTCGTTGTCGCTTAATAGTGCTATCGTAGAGTCTGCCTCTATGAGCTCGTCCAAGAGTGATTGGATCGATTCGGACAGTTGGACCGCATGCACACTGCACACCAGCTCCGCCTCCGCAGAGGATAGAGTAGTGAAAGCTTGTCGCGTCGTTTCCCAAGCAATCGGAACACCCATCCATAGAACAATCAAAGACTGCATCGATCGATCACCACCAGGGCTATGGGAAGCGTCGGAGTACACTTCTAGAACTTTCTCAGATCGCGGCATCAAAAGCAAACCGTGGTCTGCAAAGGGATTCCCTACCTCAAAGGGAACCTCGATTCCAAACTCTGCCGTGGACCTAAGATACTTCAAGGTCTGCAACCCAACACTGATGGAGATCTGTGGCGCCTTCGTCGCCTGTTGCCCGCAGCGTGACACTGCGTATGAAATATCCGGTCGAGTTCTCGTAGCAACCCATAAAAGCGCACCCGTAATGGCTTGAGCTTCCTTAACCTCGGAGGCCGACACAGAATCTGGAAGATCAGGGTCCGTCCACTTAGAGATAGGCACCGCCGCATCCTCGGTAACATTGTATCGTTGCAGCAGTTCGCGAATATATGCCACTTGCGATAGCCGATAACCTTGAGAAGATCGTGAAATTTCCAAACCGCAAAAAGTAACAGCCGACTCCTTGATCCACTCCGGCTCCGAAGTCTTCCATAAATCCCGCAAAACCTTGATGAACTGGAGGGCCAAACCGGGCTCAGCAAACAATGCCAAGTCGTCCACATAGACTATCAAAATTCCCTCCACATCACCAAGTCCCTCCTTGGTGTACTTCCTCAAGACCCAGAGGGCGTCGTCGGATTTCAATTGCACCAGGTGGTACTCTCCTCCGGCATACGGAATCCGCATCTTCTCAAACTCGCCGTCCCGATACCTGCCCCAATCCCGCGGGGAAGTCGGCAAACCATACAAGGCCTTCCTAATCCACCAACGGTCCTCCTTCGACAGGATTCCCAGCTCAACCAGGAAGTGGGGCGGCTTAACAATAATACGCTCCTCTGTGCCCTGATGCTCTGCCCGGATCGGTGCGTATAGGAATGCAGATTTCACATCTATCGTAACCCCTACCCAACTAGGATGACGGCCAGCAAACACAACCGCAACTTTGACCGACAAGGATTCAGCACCCGAAGCATACAACTCTTCCCGAGTTAGCCCTAATTTGTCGGTGGGAAGGTAGTTACCGCAACACACCGCGCGGCATCTTCGTTTGCCCGTGCCCGCCTTACGGGTGAGCACTGCCTTCCCAGGCAATTGGACAATTGAGACCCCGTCCTTTACCCATTTATCTACATCAGCAGCTGAAACCCTATCAACAGCCCGGTTGGTTTGTTCCAAGCTCACTACTTCTTCTTTCGCTGGATCTCGCCACTTAGCTAACTCCTTCCTAGCTTCTGACAAGCTAACGTTGTGGGTCTGTAGGAACTGATCACTGCTAGGCTCAGGCTGACCCCCCAATGGTACCTCAGCAACCAAACCCTTCAAAGATCCCAAGCGCTCACACTCGGCTTGATTCTCGACCAGAACCCACTCCAACCACTCTTTCTTAGTCTCCTCAACCTCTAGCTGCGAAGCTAATTGTAGTAAATGCTCCTCATCGGATAAGGCGTTACTCAACTCAGCAGAGATAGCCTTACACAGCCTAGCCGTGCAAGCATGCCAGTCAATCCAATCTTGAGGCTCCGAGTCCTCAAAAGCCTGAGCCGGCCAATCAAATTCCCAGGACTCCTGCTCAGTTCCCGAAGGGTCTACATCTAAGGCTGAGACGTTAGCACCCCATCCTACCTGAAGGCAATCGCAACCCTTATCCAAGATGGCGTCAACCTCCTCCAAAGGGAACCCTAGCTTCTCCAGCGTTTCACGGTGATGAGCCAGGGTATCCTTGAAATCCCGAGGGACAAAGGCCGCAATGACCCATCTTTCCCCTCGCCATTCCTCAGACCCATGCCATCTAGTCCCGTCAAACACTGCCGAGCCCTGCCGAAGATCATGAACAAAACCAGCCCGTTCTTCTCCATTAGGAAGAGCCCTCAACACGGTACCCTTATCTTCCTCGATCCACAGACCTCCTCCGCGAAAGTCCCCAAAGGCCTTAGCCACAACCGGAAAACCCTTAGCATTCCTGAGGTCCCGATGCATCGGCATCCTAACATTATGGGTGATATAAAGTGTGGTCCACCCACACCCAAAAACGCTTGACCTCAAAACCCGATTCAGGTACTCCGTGAAAACTGGACAACCCAAGGCAAAAGTAGAAACCCCACGGAAGCCTCCTACAGCATAAAGGCCACACATCATAGCCCTTCCCAATCGGTAAACTAGAGGTCGCCGTGCTACCGGAAGGTCCTCAGCAACCTTTTGCAACACCCGCAAACAATCCTCATCTGAGAACTCCCCCCGGTCTAAGCACCCCTGAATCCACTCTCGCACTTCCAGGCTCGGAACCTGGGACTTTTTAAGGGCAAGCTCAGTCGTATCCTCCAAACCAAACCCCCCAACCTCAAGTTCCTCACCCAGCCCTTCATAGCCTATAGTCCCATCTAAACTACCAACTAGTCCTTCGCCCACACACCAACCAGCTTCAGGAAAACTCGAAACAAAGTTTTCAACTTGAACCTGACCCACATGCCCATAAGAGGACTCCCCCCCATGCGCAGCATGGACGTCAGTCGGCTTGGTGGCCTCAGGCGACCGAACCGGCAACGAAGCAGCAGCTAACACCCTCACAGCGAAACCCGGCGCGCGGGGGGAGCGCTTGCTTGTCAGCCGAAACTTAGGCTTACTTACGCTAACCCCGCCGGACCGCAAAGGATACACCGTATTAGTCAGCAGCACTTTACCCTCAGAACCCGTAGTCTCATCCCCCGGAACCCAAACCAAATGCCCTCCAGGCGTATCCGGCGCAAGCCCCAAGTAAGACCCCGAGATTGTCCTAGTCTTCCATTGGGCATCATAGCCCGTAGTGAACCGCCTTCGCCCATGAACGGGCATAGCGAAAGGGAGAAGCGGCACAGGCTGACGCCCGAGAAACTCACTCATCTGGCACCAATTGCGCTCCGACGCGTGCAAAGCCGCTAAAGGCCAGAACACAGGCGGAAAACGACCTACCTGGAGTAGCTTACGTACGGCAGCCTTGATGTGCTGTACCGCTAGTTCAGCCTTATTACCAGCCGGCGCATCCCCTGGCGTAAACGACGCATGAATGCCCTTATCCCTTAACCAAGTAATCAACGCAGCCGACTTAAGCTCCTGGGCTCGATCAGCATGATAGCGTTGCACTGGATATCCAAAAGCCTCAAGCCTGTTGATGATACGTTGTATCTGACCTAGCACCTCTCGCCCTTTCTTCGTCCGAAGTGGCGCCGCTAAGAACAACGACCGATACTTAATCGCAGGCTTGGCCACCCCTGAATCCGCAGGCCCGGAAAGACCACCCTCGGCTTCGGCTTCAGGCCGCTTACTTTTAACCCTGTGTGTCACAACCTTAACCTCAGCCTGAGGCGCAAATAACTCAGGAAATAACTCCTCATCAGACGAGCCTACCCGGGTCATTTCAGGCTCCACATCATTTGGGGCCTCAGAAGGGGCATAATCCTCAAGGTCTGGATCAATGGGCTCCTTTCCTTCTGCAGCCTCCGGCAAGAAAGAAGGAATCGTATAGCAACAGACCAGCAGATGTCGATAGCCTAAGCCCTTATCCCGTCCCGACGCAACAGCATCAAAACTACGCCCCGGAACAAACGGCCCCGCTAAGTCAAAGCTAGCTGAGTACACATTCGTAAACCCACTTCTCCAATGAGACCTCTGGCGACCCTGAGCCCCAATGCAAATTTCGCATCCCCGACGGTAGGGAACATGGTCATTCAACTCATGCTGGGCCTGAGCCTGACTATCGGTAAGCTTAGCAAGCAAACACCTCCTATCAGACACCTCTGGTTCCCTACCGCGGTCAACTTGCCAGGAATCCCAATGCTTCTGCACAAGGTGTCGTACCCGGGGCAACCATCGAGAAGTCGCATGATCGTGACCCCATACAGGCGAATCCACACCACCACGAACTTCCCGCAACGAACCCACCTTCAGCTTATGCAGCGACTCAAACAAGAACCAAGCTGAAGTCATCATCTTAACCCGAGTCGACCCTAAACCCCCCGCAGTAACCTGCTTGACGTCTACGACATCAAGGCTGTACGCCTCCACAAACGCTCCGGGCTCCACGCTTGACCCATCCGGGAAGCAGGAATCACTGACCCCCACTCCCGACGAAGCTTCCCAAGCAATAAACACTGAGGAACCCTTAGGGCCTTAGGGCCCCTGTCGGCCCTGGAGCTTAACCTTTCCGCAGCACAACCCATGGCCCACTTAACGAGCTCCTGGGGATCAGTGATTCCCTCTGGTAACAGCTGCTCTCGTGGCTCGGCTAAATTACCCCCACATTCTACGACCTGGCCATCCTGAACAGCCTGGGCCACCGCATAAAGCAACGCAAACCGAAGGTCCAAAACCAGCCTCTCTTCGGCGTCTCCTTGACAGGCCTTCGAACCCTCCCCAGAAACTCCGTCACTCGGCTCATTTACAAAGCCACCTACAACCCCCGATAGGGTCCAACGCAGTAAGTGACTAAACACACAGGCACTCCCAAGACCCTTTTCAGAATTAGGAACCCGAAGTACCCTTCCAGACTCTTTCCACCCACCGGGTCGGTCCGAGCAAGAAATCAGTACAGATTCAGAACGTCCCTTGTCAAGGGACCGGCGCATCCTTCGGTTCCACGGAAAGTCAGCCCAATCAGGATGCTCCGCGGAGGCCGATTGCACACAGGCTCGCGTAATCACACTAGTGGACACTGAAGGAAACAAGCTTCGCAGAAAGGCAAACTGAGAACCTTCATCCAGGCCTCCCTTTGCACTTCCAATCACCCTTTTCCTAAACCAGTCCCGGACACACCTCCTATCTATCTCCTCCGGTGGGTCAGCAACCCCAACCTTACCCAAAAACCTTCCTTCCCTAACCAACAACTCGTACTTCTCCAACAACCTCAAACCTACCTCCCTTGGTATCAAAGGGCAACCCTTCACCACCTGCACAGCAAGGCGTCCCTCTTTAGGATGTCGAATAATGCAGCCCCGCTTACGCCACGAAATGGCAAACCCTAGCCCCACCAAATACATGGCTGGCAGTATAACTTGACAAGGTCCCGCATGAAGCAAGGTGCCGTAGCTATTCACCCTCAACTCCGTCCCTCCGCTCGCTAAGTCGACCTTGATAACCTTGCAACCCTGAATCTCATCATTGGTCGCCGGCCGCAGTGCGTTAGTCGCACCACTGTCGACCAGGCAGAAAAGCGGATCCGACGCGCTTGTCAGGGCACTTTTAAGCCAAGAAGGGTCCACACTAGGAACTTCCGGTCTAAGGGCCTTAAGGGTAACCCCCTTAAGCAACTTCGCAGCCTCTGCTAGCAATGCTTCCTGCGTTACTTGGGTTCCTGTCCCAGCCGTGGCCCGGATGCTGACGCCGAATTTCCGTCACCCCTCGATTCTCCTTGCTCCGTAACCCCTTTCGCCTGAGCCGCCTTGGCCTTAGGCTTAGCCTTAGGTGCACCCTTTGCAGCTGGACTAGGAGACTTGGGAGAAGAATCCGAGGTTGACTCCTGGACCACACGATGCTCAGCCGGCACAACTGGACAGTCAGGACGATAATGGCCCGACTGTCCGCAAGCAAGGCAACGACTCTCTTTCCTCGCTTTAGCCCTATCATGCTTAAACATACACGAGTCCCCAAACCTGCACCCTGAAGCGTCGCTAAACTTATGGCACAATGCCGTCCCATCCGCAGCCTTACCTTTGCCCTTGCCCTTTCCTTCGGAACCTCCTGCATTCGCGGCCGCTACAGACGCACTCGCACCACTTCCAGCAGCAGGAGATGTTGGTGATGGGGCTGCAGGCGGTCTGGGAACTGGTGGCGTAGGAGCAGGGGTACTCATGGCGGCAGTTCTAGTCCTCTTATCTCCGCTGCTGGACGACTCCACCAAAGCTGCAGCTTCACTCTCAGCTTGCAACAATCGCACAAGTTGTGTAACCCCTACGGTAGTAGGGTTGTAATCTAGTGCAATACTATGCCTGAATGAGTTAACCCTAAACCCGATCATTGGGCTATTTGCCAACAACGGCGCCGTGGCGGAGTCTACTCCCTTTAGCAGAAGAGAAGCGTCAGGTAACGTCGCCTTAATTTCACTTGCTCTCTGTAACGACTGCTGCCACTTCCTAAGCACCTTTATGGCCTCTTGAAACCCTTTACATGGCTCAGGGGAAACCAATTGCCCTAGCAACTGTGCTCTTTCACTCGAACCCCCAGGTTGATAAGCGCATAAAATACGGAACAAGATCGCCGCAGTACTAAGCCAACGGTTCGTAATGATGTCATCCCGCACCGAGTTTGGAACCGACGCCAAAAGCAAGGTAACCGCCCTCGATTCTACACGCTGAAACTTATGGGCATCAAACGCCGCAACAACCGAACTGGGATCTAGTCCTAGCCGTCCTAGCGGGTCCGCCACTAGCCACCTAGAATACCCTTGATGAGCCGCTAGCTCTACCGCACCATACCACACATCCGCCGAAGGAGAAAGGCCCATAAAAATCTGCTTAACTTGAGCCAACCAATTCCCGCATACTATGGCTGAGTTGGCTAGGTCCGCTTGAGCCAACTTAGGAATCTCACTTATGTACTTAGCGGGTTCTTCAGGCCTAGTTTCCCCAGAACCCGACCCTTGCCCTGGAACCGAGCCACCTAAACCATACACCCCAACCCCAGGGTAACCCCCAAAACTCAAACCCGAGCGTGATCCTGGTTCCATCCCTCCCGGTAGGTATCCGAAGGTCTCAGACCCTGGTAAAACTGGCCCCGGACCCGGTGGGCCTGCAAGCATCCCTGGAGGCGGCCGCGGCGGGGCCGGAGGCGGTAGCGGCGGGGGTCGTATCACCGTGCCACCAGGTGACAAGGGATACCCATTAGGGTCAAAGGCAGGACCGCTAACCCCGGACGACCTTGGAGTCTCAAACCCAAAGCCTCACTCGCAAACCTCATAGACTGCGTCCGACCCTCACCTTCGAGACCACCCCGAAATGGAACCATAGCAGAAGGTGGACACCCCCCCGAACATTGCTGAGGCTGCCCCACAGAACCCATGTCTAACGCAAGGGCACCTTCACACCTCTGGGTAGCCTGTGGCCTCGGTACTCCCGCGGCGGGTAAAGGATTCGAGTTTACATCTGCCCTACCTAGGTACCCAACATCACTCTTGAAACCCGGGAAATCCGGAAACCAGGCACCTTCAGGAGGCACCGCCTGTACAAGGGACTCAAAGCCTCTTCCAGGCCCTGTCACCTGGGATCCAAAAGGCATCGAAAACGACATTGGCGAGCCAGCAGTCATTCCCATGTCACCTTGCGTGCCGCTGTGCCAAGAAGAATGCGACCGGAGTTCCACTTGCTCCAATCGCCGCTTAAGGGCACGATTCTCCTCCATCATCTGTACCAGCAACGCTTCGACATTCAGGGAGGACCTTTCCTCAGGAATGAGCTCATCATCCCCATGTACTCCGGCCTGACCAGATGAAGTAGTCTCCCTCGGACCCTTCCCAGCCTCTGCAAGCTTAGCACCCTCCACGACGCTCTCAGCAAATCCGGCCAAAGCTCCACCATGCCAGTCCGCAGTCACTGCCACGTCATCGGCGCCAGCCGAAGGTTCCACCCTCGCTATCCTAGGGCCTGTAGCCCTTTCCAAAGGTTCAGCACTTCCTTCACCCCCAGTCGTTTCCGCATAATTGGGTTCAGCCCCATTGTCACCAACCCAATCTCCTTTTGCAGTACGATCTCGGGTAGCAAGGATTCTTGCTTCATCCTCATCTAACGATAGAGGACGCTGCTGTCGCAGAGCAATCTCGTTCTTGACCTTTTCGCTGTGAAAGGGACTCGCGGACATACCCGCGCCAAGGGAGGGACCTGGTCCCCCACCCTGCTCCAGGGTATTGGGGGATGCTTCCCCCTGATAAATAGCCACCGGGACTTCAACATCCCCAGCAGCCCTTTGTCCTTGACTCAAAGCTGTCCTGTAATCGTCTTCCAGACGCATGCCCGTAGCCTCTTGGTCTCCAAGCGGGGCGGAAGCTCTTCGGTTACGCACCATGGGATCCATGACGCAACACTTCTACCCCTAGCCCAGTACAAGAAACTATACCCAAAGAGTTTACAACCCTAAGCCGACTACGGCTGATAACCTACGTGAATTAGATCAAAGAATCCGGAAATAGAAGAGCCCCGTAGAACACACTGAACCTGGAACTCGGACGTCTACCACTTTTCTTCGAGAAAAAACAGCCTTGTCGTGCCCGGGCATGGCTCCTGTGCGTCAGAGACATCAATCCACGCATTAAGGGTTTAGGGTTTAGGGGATCCAAATTGAGGTTATGATACTCATCAGTCTGCACAAGAACTGCTTGACAAGTCCCCCAACCCTCCTGGCCTGATTTTTGTATATGGATAGTTCTCCAAATTATTAAGGGTTCCTGTTGGTTCATTTTTTATGTAAGGGTGCCGTCCTATTTTGGGGACCTAAAAGGGGACGCGACTTTCGAGAACTAACCATATCAGCTTCCCTGGCCTCTCAAAATACAAGGCCGCATTTTTCTTCGCGCCTTTCTGGGAAACTCGAGGTCGGAGAATGGTCCCAGACCCGCTTAACCCTAAACCCTCAACCCTAAGCCCCCAAACCCTAAACCCTAAATCCTAAACCCTGAACCCTAAACCCTAAACCCTAAACTTACTCAAAAAAAACCCTAAACTTAAAGCAGCTTGAAAGCAAACGCCTACACTCAAGTTTTGCAGACGCCCCTAAACCCTAAGCCCGAAACTCTACACTGCAGGTTAAGGGTTTAACTTTCGCAGTGTAGGCTTCAGGGTTTAGGGTTTAGGGTTTTCAAGTTTGTTGACAAGTGCCCGCTGCACGTTCACTGCGTCTGGCGTTTTGCATGAGCCAGCGAGCCCGTGGGTGTTTTTAGTGGCCCATTCGGGTCCAGAGTTACCGGTATGGGGCTTAATACAAGGGCCGCAATAATTCCCAGTACCACTCTTTCGGGCTCCTACTTACAACTCTACCATTGCACACCAGAGAGCACTATTCAAAGTCTTTAGGCTCCTCCCAGTCTCAAGGCCCCTATGTAATGGGGCTTAGGCTTTGGGATACAAGGTGAGGATACCCTTAAACACAAAACCCTAAACTCTTGGTTCCATGGTTTAGAATTTGGGACTGAAGCCCTAGACCCCCGGGAGGATCCAAAAAGTAGATCCCTGAATGGGGGTTCCTATAAGGTACCCTTAGTAGTACAGCGCCTCATATTAGGGGATCTACTTTCTAGATCCTCCCGGGGGTCTGGGGCCCTGTGTCTCAAAGCTTATACGAGTCCCCAAGCCCCGAACGGTAAACCGCAAACACATCTGGGTAGTTGTCAAAATTATGATTCCTTTTTGGGTACCCTGAATAGGACCCAAAAAGGGAACATAGTTTTCACAATCACCCATCTGGAATAGGGCTCCTTTTCAGGGCTCTACTAGGGTTTGGGGGTGTATATTGGTGTTGTTATAACTCCTGTTTCTAGATGTTTTAGGTTCTACTCTAGTAGACCTCAAACCACCATTCTAATTATCCGGGCAGTTTCTTAGAACTTCAGCTCCGGTATGTGTGTCGGTGTATGCTGTAGGTTTTTGGGGTATCATCGGGTAAACCGTGTTTGGGAAACGCTTTTGAGAAATTCTAGAACCTTGTGCCAAATATGTCCTTGCGAATTCTTCGGGCTCCTTCTCACTTCCTCACAGAGAGCTTTGCACGATTTGGGTTTGTGTACATTGTATACTTGGTCGTTAGGCATCTGATTACATTTTAAGATATCTTCCCCAATTGCCCTATAGAACCCTCGCAGATACCAAATTAAGGAACCCTTTAAGATAAATTCCTTAGTTAAGGGCTTTTGGAGTCTCTGGGTTATACGTATCATACCTCCGTCAGGATCCCTCCTAAGGGCGAAGATCATGTTTATAATGCGACCCTCTCTCTCTCTCTATATCTATGGCCCTTCATATGACCCCTAGTTTAGACTGTTCCAGGGTGGGCAGTACCCAAATGATCTCTCTTCAGGTTTAGGGTTTAGGGTAGCTCTTCTTTCTCCGGGCTCCTCGTAGCGGACCAGGCCAGAACCTTAAATCCAAAAAAGTTAAACCAAAAAAACCGTTTAGGGCTTAGGGTTTAGGGTTGCCAGGCAACATCAGGATGGCAGTGTACCCTATCTTATTGAGGACCTATACAGAGAAATCATATGAAGGAACCGTAAAAAGGAAGGTCCTAAAGGAGGGTCTTAGGGAAAACTAGTAATGCGTTTTTTTCTGCGTCCTGAGAAATAGGGAGCCTACAGCCTACTCTTTAGGGTTCTGGACGTTCTGGTACCCAGATCCCTGGGCTCGTGCCAAGATGAAAAACGTTTTCGGGAGGTAAACGCTCGAACCGGATCGGAAGGCCTTCGATCTAATTCTTGGATATGCCAGAGGCAGTCCGTTCACTTTTCGGCCTTCGCCCACAAGGTCGGCGCCTCGTTCCCCTCACCATCTTAGGGTGACTCCGAGGTTCTGGGTCGTGTCCTGACCCTGGTGGATATGGTGTCTTACAAAAGCCTTAAGAGACTCGAAAGTTTTGGTACCTCTTAGGACACTCCAGAACCCAAGCAGTCGTGCAAACGGCGCATAGAGCGCCTGCCGATCGCGTTGCACATCCACTCAACTTGGCAAGTGGCAAGGCTGCTGCTTCTCAATTTGGGTGAAGGGCTGAACGCTTGCATGCGGAGACTAGCAATAGCTCTAGCAGCGATGGTGGATGCAAAACGGATTGCAGCAATGAAAGATATAGCATTTACGCTGACATCATAAGACTTGTAAGTAGGACAGCAGCAGCATCAGCAGATGCAGTAGCAGGAAGAGAAGTGGCGTAGCCGCAACCGCGAGGCGTAGTAGTAGTAGTAGTAGTAGTCGTCGTCGTAGTAGTAGTCGCACCAGCAGTAGTAGTGGTAGTAGCAGCAGCAGAAGGAGTAGTAGTAGTAGTAGTAGTAGTAGTAGTAGTAGTAGTAGTAGTAGTAGTAGTAGTAGTAGTGGTAGTGGTAGTGGTAGTGGTAGTGGTAGTGGTAGTGGTAGTGGTAGTGGTAGTTGTAGTTGTAGTTGTAGTTGTAGTTGTAGTTGTAGTTGTAGCAGCAGCAGGAGCAGTAGTAGTAGCAGCAGCAGCAGTAGTAGTCGTCGTAGCAGTCGTCGTCGTCATCGTAGTAGTAGCAGTAGTAGTAGTAGTCGTCGTAGTAGTGGTAGTGGTAGTTGCAGTTGTAGTTGTAGTTGTAGCAGCAGCAGGAGTAGTAGTAGTAGCAGCAGCAGCAGTAGTTGTCGTAGCAGTCGTCGTCGTCGTCGTCATCGTAGTAGTAGCAGTAGTAGTAGTAGTAGTAGTAGTAGTAGTAGTAGTAGTAGTAGTAGTAGTAGTAGTAGTAGTAGTAGTAGTAGTAGTAGTAGTAGTAGTAGTAGTAGTAGTAGTAGTAGTAGTAGTAGTAGTAGTAGTAGTAGTAGTAGTAGTAGTAGTAGTAGTAGTAGTAGTAGTAGTAGTAGTAGTAGTAGTAGTAGTAGTAGTAGTAGTAGTAGTAGTAGTAGTAGTAGTAGTAGTAGTAGTAGTAGTAGTAGTAGTAGTAGTAGTAGTAGTAGTAGTAGTAGTAGTAGTAGTAGTAGTAGTAGTAGTAGTAGTAGTAGTAGTAGTAGTAGTAGTAGTAGTAGTAGTAGTAGTAGTAGTAGTAGTAGTAGTAGTAGTAGTAGTAGGTGGTGGCAGCAGAAGCATGAGCAGAACAAGCAGTAGCGGACCACGACCATTATTAAGTACGCTATCAGCAGCAACAATGACATTCGGGGGGGGGGGGGGGTCGCAGGATTTGGGTCAATCGTACGACACATCGTAAGTGAGCAGTCTGAAAGTGTGGTCGCACTAGCCCCTTCGAAGTCTTTGTTTGGCAGGCACGGGGCTTGCCAGTGCACGGTCCTGCTGCATAACACCTAGGACTTGGGTGAACGTGTGAACCTGATCGAGGATTTAATCGGCAAGATTCAAGCGTTGAGCTCTAAGACCGTTTCTCTGTTGCCGTCTTGTTTCCCTGCCGCGGTTGAGATATCCATCAGCCGGAGGTGGGGAGCTCAGACAGGAAAATAGCGAGTGCCAGTGCCTTGGTGCAGGGTTTTGGCTGTAGCAGTCGAATCCTGAGCCCCTCAACCCAGAACCCCAAAGCACGAGCTTGCGGTTGTTGTGTGCTGATGCTGCTGTTCCACGGCTTTGAGGTTGAGGTTAGACTTGTTGTATCATCACCTCTTGATGACCATGATGACGACGACGACGGGAATGATGTTGATCTTGCTTCTGATGATCCCCACACGAATTACCACCTTAAACCCTAAATGAGCCTACTATAGGGGCCGAAATACTTACCTACATTATTTTGGGGTTTCCTTATTGTAATTATAGCATAATGGACATCAAAACCTTATTCTAATTATTATGGCCCCTACAGTAAAACCCTTGCCCCAAGCCCAAGCATCCAAACCGCACAGGCCCGAATCTTACTTTTGGTTAGTAGGGAATGGAGGAATGGGGTACAATTATAACTTCTATTACTACCATTCTTCCATTCCCTAGAGTAGAAGCCAGAAAGTTGGAACATGGATTTAGGAGTATTTGTGCTAGGATCCCGTATACTTTACTTTAGGGGCATGAGGATACTAATGTTCCAACTTTCTGGCTTCTACCATACTAACCAAAGGTAAGATCTTACCGTACAGGCGTAGACCCCAGTGAAAGGCCAGCCACACAGCCCCGAAAACCCTAAACCCCGTAAACCCGAAACCTAAATTCAAAACCTTAAAGCCTAAACCTGGATTTGAGAACTAAAACACCTAACCCGCAAAAACCTAAACCTCAGGAGGATTATCATTGTGCGCGCTGCGGGGATCAGGGCGTGGAGGGTCTAGAGTTTCGGGTTGAGGGTTAATCTCGAAACCCTGAACCCGATATACACTCCCAACCTCCAGCTCAGACAGAAACGGACAGCCTAGTACCAGCTGAGCATG